GGAGTCTCTGGTGAGAATTCTTCTCGGCTTCGTGCTGTTGCCGAGTTTGTCCGTGGGCTGTCTATCCCGTGGTTCCTGATGGGGGACTACAACATGTCTGCCGATTTCCTGGAGGATTCGGGTATCTTGGAGCTGATGGACGCTAGGGCCCTGGTTCCCAAAAACGTTGAGTTCACCTGTTCGGTTGGTGAGACCTTGATTGACTATGTTGTCTGTTCGAATCGGTTGTCTGGATATCTGCGAGTCTCCGCCGACCTCCTGTCCCCGTTCAAGACCCATGCGTGCCTGGACGTGTTGTTGGACCTTGAGGCTATGGTGGAACCCGTCTGTCTCCGTGTGAAGCCCCTGGAGATCCCTGAAGCGTATGGACCTGATAACCATTGGTTGTGTTACATGGCTGCCGCCGCTCCCAGTTTCCTGGAGGCCCCCTTGGTGATGCCCGAGGACCTCCACCAGGCGATGCCCGCTCATACTTTGGAATGTTTGTCTCGGAGTCTTGGGATACAGTACTCGATCTGGTCTAGAGCGATGGAGCTCCGTGGTCTGTCTCGTGCATGTGCCATTGTCACCGACACGCACCGTTACTTAGGCAGGGGTTGTATGCTGAAGCGTAAGGACTCGTCCCTGATGACCCGCAACGTGCAGGCGCAGAGTTTCAAGAACCCTGACTTGTCCTATTGGTCTCTTGTTTCCAGTCGCCTGTATGAGTTGATGAAGTTGACTCGAAAAGCTCCGTATTCTCAGGCCGCGATGCAGCACAGGCGCGTCTTGGCTGATTTGGCGTGCCACATTTTTTCTCACATCGAGCCTCTTGCGAGTTCTCAGGCAGCTGTGTCGTGGAAGGATTGCTTGAACCAACCACCCTACGTGTGTCATAGATTGGAAGAACTCGTTGAGGCTGCAGGTGTTGTGTGTACTCGTGCATGGTCTCTCGCACATGCCAAGGCCAGGGGCAGCATGCGCACTTGGTTGCAGTCATCCCTACCCAGAGGTGCTAGCCCCGTCCATCGCTATTTAAAAGCTGAAGAAAGAGTTTGCGTTGAGTATTTCTTGACTCCTGAGGGTATCGTGGACACCCCTACCTCGATGATGAGTTTTCGGGAACGGAAGTGGAGTAAATGGTGGACCCCAAACTCTGAACAGCGTGTGTGTCTGGAGGCAGGCCTTCGTGAGCTTCGTTCGCAAGCATTGGTCGTTCTGCATGATTTGGACCCGCTTGAAGTGCATGACATTGCCAAGGCCTGTACATGTTTCAAGCCACACACGTCGCTAGGCGTCGACATGCTGGCGCCACGCAGTTTGCTCTCTGCCCCCGTCGACTCCCTCGAAGTGTTCACAGGTATCATGCGTCAAGTTGAGCAAACTTTGAGCTTTCCTCCTCAGTGCTATGTCTGCCTCATGGCCATGCTGCCTAAGTCGATTTGCGATGAGCGTGCCATTGTCAAGTGCCCCAGTCTTTACAGAATCTACTGCAAAGCCCGCGGCTTTGATATTGATGATTGGAATAAAGAGCATCTGGATTTCTGGGACTCTGCTGTCAAAGGGTCCTCTGCTCTTAAGGCTGCTTTATTTCGTGAACTGGCCCATGAAGTGGCCCGTGCATGTGGGTTCGAATCTTGTGCGCTCCATTGGGACCTCGAGAAATTCTTCGACTCCGTGAGCCCCTGCAAGCTCCTCCACTTTGCCACCAACCGTGGGTGCCCTGGGCACCTCCTGTATTTGGGGCTCCTCATCCACACTGCTCCGAGGCTGTTGGAGGTTTCTGGCAACCTATCTCGGGTTATTGAGGCTGGGGAGTCTATCCTGGCGGGATGTAGTCAGAGTATGCCTTGGGTGAAGTGCTACTTGTACGGGGTACTGGAGAAGGCCCATAGTAGGGTTCCACAGGGCCTTGGTGATCTCCCACAGGTCCGCGTTCCCATTAGGTCTTATGTTGACGACATCACCCAGTACTTGCAGGGCACTCGAGAGTTTATTCGTCGTTATTTGCCGCCTGCGGCGGCGGCTTTCCAGCATGATATATCAGGTCTTGGCTGTGTGGTCAGCCCGAAGTCTCTTGCAGTTGCCTCGTCTGTGGAGTTGCAGCGACTCCTTCAAGAAGAGTTTAAGAAGCATGGAGTTTCCATCACTTTCTCGCCCAGTGTGAAAGACCTGGGCACAGTCACCTCAGCTGGCCGAAGGCGCACTGCTTGGAAAACATATGAGAGACGTGCTATCGCATTCCGACGTGGTCGTAAGCTGTCCTACCTTGCAAGGTTGTGTGGAGCTTCGCGTAAGGTCTTCAAGCCTGGCATCCTCTCAGTGGGCTCTTGGGGGCATGCTATGTCAGGACTTCCACCTGGAATATTGAAGCAGTTTAGAGGCTCCGCGGCTTCCTGTTCGGGGTTCTGGTCGTCGGGGGCATGTACTACCAGTGTATTGCGAGTATTGCATGATACTAAGGATGACCCTGTCTATAGACTACGTGTTGAACAACTTACCCTAATCTCTGAAGTGTGGTCATCCTTGTCTGAAGGTTTGCGCAGTGGAGCTCGAAAGGTCTGGTCTCAATTGCATGCGACAGTGGGCCGTGCTCGTGCATCTGACCGTTGGCGA